AACGCAGAGTATAAACTGATCTCCTTTCGCATCTCCTTTGTACCCAATGCAAAAAGTAAATTAATATCCATGTCGCGAAGAACGAATTTTAATGTGAGACAAACTGGGGAAAACTGGATCTCTGTCGGCCTCTAGACAATTGTAAATATTTCCTGTCGGACTCTAGACAATCATGAATATTTCCTGTTTACATCTGTTTATTTTATATGACGATAATCATTTGCGGAAGAAAAATCTACGTTGGAAAAACCGACGCCACGCCGTTGGAAAAGAACTTATCTAAGCAAAACTACTGGTATAACGATAATGTCAAAATGAATCATATTAACTGATCGAAAAGTGACATTTAAAGCTATCGCACGTAAAAAAAATCATAACCGTAAGATCCTAAATATATAATCAATCACAGTCGAGCTACGTTCTAAAACATAAGATAATAATTTTGATTATGATTGATCGATTTCCCTTACAGAAATATAATACTAAAAAGTACAAGTTATATTACTTATTTTGAAAGCACTGAACAACAGTGCTTTTAATACTCAAAATAAGTAATTAATGATTAAAATTACCACCTAGTATTAAGTTTCTGTAAGAGAAATTAACAAATCACGATCAAAATCTGTTATTCAGTGCTTTTAATAAGAATAGATTGCGCATTCCTTATGAAGTTTTGAGTATTAAAAACAGTAAGAACAATGTTTTTAATACTCAAAGTAAATAATTATATATAATTTTACTACCTTCTAATATTACACTTATAAGAAAAACCGATCAATCACAATCAAAATATGTTGTTAAATGCTTTTACTCAAAATAAGTAATTCCAATATTAAATTGGTCAGTATTAAATTGAATTTCTGCAAGGATTGCTTACGACCTCATGGTTACGACTAACACTATTTTACGTGCAATGGCTTTTAATAATAATCATCATAGACGTAATAAGAATGGATTGCGCATTCCTATGAGGTTGTCACTCTCGGTTTAGAAAGACTGATATATTTTGAAATATATAACTATCTCTCTCTTTAAAATATCGAATTGAAGAGAAATGCTCAATTCTTTTTATGGAACACAAATGGAATAATAAGAGCAGGAAATGACCAGTCTATTCTTCTATGTCCATAGTAATCATTTAAGAGTCATTGTGACACCATTTTGATACTGTTTTGATGTCATAATAACTTTTTGTTTTGCTTAAATATAGCATTCCATTTTCATAATGTAATCGAGACCATCCGGTGGACAAGACGATCGCATAAACGAGAATGAGCAATCGATTAATTATGAAATTATGAAATTATTATCGGCGCCTTCGTTCACGGCGCTTATAGTAGGATTAACGCGCGATAGACGAGAACCGGATTTGAATATCGATCGGCACGGTCTATGGCGTCGGCCCATTGAATTGCAAATTAAGTGCTATTCCCCACATTATGCGCGACGCTGACATTGCCCTTCCGTCGCGAATCTGCGCGAATCGGTGATGGCATTCACGGGAAGAAATAAAATAGGCTAGAATAGAAGACAGCGTTTCAAATATCGTGGAATTTATCAATCCTAGATTAATCTCTTCTTTGCTTTTTGTTTGAAGTCAAGAAGTTGCATATAATCGAGGCACGGCCTCGGAACGACTTTGACTATAAAATTCCGGTTAATCGGTGATTAACCGGAAGATAAATTGATTTATCTAGATAATTATTATTTTATTAACGTGGATAGAATTAACGGATATATTTCGTCGTTTAACAAAAAAGAAGATTCGAGACAATGAGCTGTATGGTTGAAAATTTTACTTTAGGCGATTCTGTTGAACGAATTGATTGCCAATATAAAATCAATCTGTTTATAAGATGGGGATTAACTTTAATCTCTGTTTAATTTGCTCTTTATCTTTTTACAACTAGAAAAAGATAAAAAACAAATTAAATAGAGATTAAAGCTAATTTACATTGATAGAAATGGACATGATAAACGTCGTTACAGACCTTAATTAAGAAAAACAATAGCTAGGTCACGATAGCGTTAAAATGACGTTAAGATAAACCGTTATTGATGGAAAAGTTTTAATTCTTAATATATATGATATTTTCCGTTTCTTTTTACTATACACGATGGGTTGTCCGTGTTCGGGATTAGTTTTTGTCACTTTTATAGAAATGATTAAGTCTTATATACCCGGGAAAAAAGTTTCATATATAATATATATAAATAATTATATAAAATTATGTATAATTATATAAAAAATTGACATTTTATATACAATTATACATAATTATATATAAAATAATGGTATATATATATTTTAACATCTTTAGAAAGTATTTTTTATAAGATTGTGTATTTAAAAAATTGTATATAACTGTATTATGACTAATTACTTTTAATATCTCTGGTATTTCAAAGAAAAGAAATGCGAGATACGAATGATCTAATTGTGTGTAGTGTACTAAGAGTTAATAACCATCTTGGAGCCATTTTGATGTCATGATGACTTTTTGTTCTGCTTGGGACATCAAGAGAATCGAATGAATCGAGTGAATAAGCATCACGCTTGATATAATTAACATGGCGGAAAAACGCTGCTAGAATGTGCAGGGAAATGCGCATATGTTCGACAACGCTCTGCATCTCATGACGAAAGATTGAACGCATCATTGGAAATTTCTCGAATACCGGAGACGGCATTTGCCGTGCGAGAAAGCGAAACTGACGGGACAGCGTCGATTCATTCTCGAACGTCGTGAATGCGACCGCGAGTGATCGTAATGGTGGACAGCGCGAAGTTGTCGACAATCGACGCCGCGCGACAGGGGCGGACGAGGAAGACTAAAAACGGCTGTGTTCCATGTAATGTAAACTGTAGCATTTTCAGTGTTGGCAGTAAATTTGAAACACGGCCCCCATAATAGAGTCTGATCACGAGCAATTCTGTTAAAATAAGAGTAAGAAAATATGCTCTCATTTTAACTTGTACTATTTTACTCATTCTGAGTTACTAAAGTTGTTAGGCTGATCAAAAATTTGTCATCTTGTAGCCAGACTATGGTATAGCCGGTATTCACATAGTCGGTCCTTATATTTAAAATCATTTTAAGTATTATACAATCTTATAAGATGTCATATAAGCCAATCACACAAAGCCGTAATATCGTAAGACATTACTTAAAATGATCTTGAAATAAGATAATTTACAATGAATATCAGATTTCGGATCTCCAGGGAAAACAAAAACTATAATAAAACGGGATGCGAAGGAATCGTGATCCTCGACGAGTCTTTTCGCGTCGTTATTCACGGACGCGAATTTTCAAAAAATAGTGTCAACCCGAATAAAAATATACAACTAGTGCAATAAGTAAATTCGAATAGCGCGTAATAGTGGTGGAGGAATTTCATTAAAATTACACTGAAATTTTATTGTGAAAATAAATATTATTAGCATTGTTCGTTTTGTCTCTCGGGAGCTGCTCGGGGTGCCTTCGAACGAGCCCAGCGAATTTGAAATGTAGGATTCGCACTACGTACGACATCCGTCATACCACGTCCGATATTAATCGTAACAATGAATATCGGATGTGGTATGACGGATGTCGTACGTAGTGCGAATCCTACATTTCAAGTACGCTGGGTTTGTTCGGAGCGACCCCGAGCAGCCCCGAGAGACAAAACGAACAATGTTAATAATACTTATTTTCACAATAAAATTTCAGTGTAATTTTAATGAAATTTTCTCCACCACTATTACACTATTCGAATTTACTTATTGCACTAGTAATATATTTTTATATATTACTAAAACGGGAAAATAATTTCAAAATGATTATTAAAAATCCTAACAAAGCTGACGTTATTTGTCATCATTTTGATATCTTTAACATCAGCTTATTTACTGGGCATTACTTTTCTTCTTTTTCTTCTGTATAAAATGCCGCTGAAATGACGAATCCGGCCAAAAAATATTAAGTTACTTTTCGATCAATGGTGGTGACTCATTTTAACATCATCGTTCATTTTGACATTATAATTGTTATTCTACTTGAAATACTCTACTATCTCCTCCAACTCGCGTGCGCAAAATTCTTCTCAATCTCCGATGGGATCGGCGTCACTTCCGGCACCAATTCTTTATTAAACTTTGATTAGAACCGTGTGATGTCTTTTACTCCTCGATCAAAAGAAGGTATATCGAAGAATATCAGAAGCAAGGCGGAAAAGGCACTCAAATAGAACACACAAATTATAATAATATCATAAAGACATCAATCATCACGACTTTATTTATCACTTAAGTTCATTTTTAGATGACCAAATGACATCATGATGACATTCTATGATAACATTACGATTTATTACGACTCTTGTCCATTTCTATCAATGTATAGATAAACTTTAATCTCTGTTTAATTTGTTTTCTCTCTTTAACTTGTTTTCATAGAAACTTAGAAATAGAAAAAGATTAAAAGTAAGTTAAACCAAGATTAAAGTTGCTACTTCTACATTGGTAGAAACGAACATTATAGGGTGCTTTCCATTTGATGACACAAGTCGACACAAAGTGTCGTTCTATCTTTGTCACTCTCTGAATGTCAAGAAAGATAGAACGACGCTTTGTCATCTTGCGTCGACTTGTGTCATCAAATGGAAAGCACCGAATGTGTTCTATCTGGGCAACGCCTAATCGAGGGTTTGGGCGGCCGCGGGGGTTCGTACGTTACTGCGCTGTCACCGTCAACTGTGCCCCGGACCGGAGTATGTCACTCGCGCGAGCCTTGGCACGCGTGGCCACGACTGCGAGTGGTGGCAATCTGGCAATTGCAGCATATGCGGTGCAGTGGACGGGACGAGGCGTCAGGCGAGACGGAAAACGGCCCCGTCGTCCGTCGCTTACCGTCGCTGTTCGCGCGTGTCTTTGTGCAAGACCGAGACTTGCAGTGTCCCGTTGCGGCCTGCTCCGAGTCCGGGCTCCGTTTCTCCTGGTTTCTCCGCATGTCGGTAGACGGTACTCGGTAGGTCGGTACCGTCGCGCGTGCGCGTGCAAGAGAGACAGGCTACTCTGTATTCGTGAAGAATAGAAGAGACGCGAGAATCAGTGAAGATCGGGGCAGATCGGGGTAAGGGAGGGAGGCAGTCGACGTGCGTGAAGGGCTCGTTTCTCCGTGTTGCGCCGTTGGGGCCAAAAATAGACAAATGGTTGATGAACGCGTCGTCGTCTCCGTCGTCGGTGGTTCCTCGCGCTTTTCCAGAATGTCCCTCACGCCACTGAGATTGTAGATCACTCAACGATCGATCGAGCGATTGAAGTGATTCAGAGGTGATCGCGCCGTCCTGGCCACCATTCACCATCTCCCGGGTGGAGATGGAAGTGCTCAAGACGTCCCAGGAAATCGTCCACGAAGGATGGCTCATCAAATCGCCGCCAACCAAGCTCTGGAGAGCAAATATTAAACGGATTTGCGCTTCGCGTTCTTATCTACGAGGCTCCCAGGTGGAGAGACCAGGAGTCATTGTTTACGTCCGCCCAGGATTTCCCCCTTTTTTTTTTATCTACGAGTGGAATCGACTGTGGACTCCTGGGCGTTGTCTAATTTTCCGTGAAAAACTGTAGCACCAGTCGGCAACGACTATCCTGGTTCGCTGCCCATGCGAGAAATATATTTTGACCTAACCTATATATATAATTCTAGAAATTAAATTTTTAGTTTCTCTTCTTATTACTTTCGATTACTTTTGGCACTCGTCCAAAGAATGCACAAAAGTCAACAAAAGATAAGACTTTATTTTAATTCTTAACATCAATAAATAGTCATGTTTTGTAACCAATCGTCATTTTCATGACATCAAAATAAAGTCATTTTGACTTTCTTTTGACTTTGTGTATTCCTATGTTTTTGACGAAAAGAAGTTTAACATTCTTGTGATAAATGTATTTGTTGGTTACTCAGACGTTTATTGGAACTTTGTTGTATTCCAGCTAATTTTAAGTTCAGACAAAGATAAATAGCCTTATCTCTGATAACTTCTAATAGCGATGGAGAAAGCGATGGTTTGCCCTTCGTCATAGTGGAGAGCTACCTGGTCAATATTTTTTGGAATATTACACAGACAGACGCTGCCGTAAGCTCAAAGGTCGTATCGATTTGGATCAGTGCGAACAGGTATCCATCACATTCATAGAATTTGTTTTCATGAGCTATAGATACTTATTAATATTCTAACATAGGTGGATGCGGGTCTTCGATTCGAAAATCGTAAACAAAAGTATCAGTACATGTTTAATGTGAAAACGCCGAAAAGGATCTATTATTTAGTTGCTGAAAACGAAGCGGATATGAATAAATGGGTAGATGCGGTGTGCCAAGTTTGCGGTCTGAAGGCATACACTCAGGATGAGGAGCAACAAAGTAATGAGATTACCATTTTGTATTAACTCTCAATGCTTTTCATTTAATAACACAAGTCAGTCAAAAACATTGTTCTGTCTTTCTTGGCATTCCATAACAAAGACAAAACAGGAACTTGTATCATTAAATGGAAAGCACTCTTTGTTGCTTATACATTTTTGTATAAATATAAAACAAGTGCATTAAATTTTGGATAAAATCACACAGACACAAACTATAGATTACGTTTTTTATTTGGTGACAAGTCGATACAACTGTTCATTAAATGTTAGAAAGATAGAATGATGTATCAACTTGTGTAACTAAATAAAAAGCAGTCCATTTAAAATGAGTTTATATATATAATGTCTATATTAGAAGAAAAAAGTACCAATATCAAGTTTAGTGAACTTTGCTTTGATTGGTCAAATTCCAATCCGATCTCAATTTCTAATCTAATTCGGGTATTAATAGCAGTATGTTTCAACTTTTTTAGTGTTCCAATACGAGTCTCAAGAATCCCCACCTACTTCGCCCACTAGCACGATCTCTGGTCCTTACATTCCTATTAGCGAGTGCATTTCCGGTCGTCGGCTCAACGATACTAGTTCCCTGAGTTCGGCTCTCGGACAAGGACCCGAACATTATGACGCGCCGAGAAGATTGGCACCCTCGCCACCGCGATCACCCACAACAACGGATGCCGAGAGCGTTTTCACCGACGATGAATGGACAACGTGTGTGCCGAGTGCGAATTGGGACACGCTTCCTTCAACGGGTGAATGTTTGACAATGCGCGTAAGATTAATTTATTTTTCTTGTCTTTACTAATGAAATAAAATCGTGACAGGTGATTCGCGACAACCTCATGGTCCAGGTGACCATGAAATTGGTTCGTGGAGTGTGAAAAAACGCTTCGGTAAGCTTAGGATCGTCGATTCCGCGATACCACCAGCCGTGGAGAAGTTGCCAGCACCACCCAGACCACCGAAACCGCCTCATATGTTACCCGAAAATCCTGGTCACAACTACCTGAATCTAGACGGTGCTACTGAAAGCTCGAAACCGAGCACCCCAGCAACGCCGGCGCCGACAACACCTGCTGCCGCTACAACAACAACAACAACAACAACAACAACAACAACAACAACAACAACAACAACAACGGGTGCCGTGACCGATGAGTCGTACGATTTTCCTAGATCTCATCAACCGCAAGCGGCACAAACGACCGTCGAGAGCAACACGGCGGCGATCGAACAGTCGTCGAAACATTTCTACTCAAACGCTGCACCGAGTACCATCAATGACGAGACGCAGAATGTGTTCCGCTACGATTTCCACGACGTTGAGCCGTCAAGTCCGCGCTCTGAAAATTCGATCATAGCGACATATTCGAATTTACCGAGTCCTCTCGTACGAGACAGTTCGAGCAGTGTACCAACCACCATGGCGCCGCCTCCGCCGATGGTGTACAGAGAATTAAAGCCGGGTAGAAAAACTAGTGACTCAATGTCTATCGTAAGCAACGAACCATCACCAGGTCCGACAACAGCACTATATGATGTGAGTTCCGCTGAACATTCTCCGGCCGAACCGCCGACCATCAACAGGAAGTTGAAACCATCGTTGAATAAATCACCGGTGGAAGGTAGATTTTTCTTTCTTTCTCTACTTTTTTTATGTGTTTAATAAGAGAAATATGTTTAATGTGTAAAATTTCTCGCAGCACCTCATCTACAATTAGCGTCTCCACCTGGGAGAGGAAGAATTCGAGCGGCACCCAGTCCGACACCTCCGTCGCATGTGCATTCGATACGTCATCAATCGACATCAGATGAAGACAATAACGCATTCGAGGATAGAGAAGAGGTTCGTAGAACGATTCTAAGAACCGTGTGTAACTTTAGTCGTTATACATGACGTGGCACGATACGTGATTTTATCCGCTATGCGTAATTTGATTTCCAGATATACTATTATCAAGATCACAACACATTCATTCCGGCGTCTAATCGCTTAGTGGTGCTGCAGTATCTGGATCTCGACTTAGAAACGACAGAGAATTTTAATTCCTCGACGTTACCGCCCGCGCAACCCCTCCCAAGTACGACTGTGTACAAAACCGTAGATTTCGTGAAGACGGAGGCTTTTAATCGTACTCGGCAGCGAGTGGAGGAAGAGAGAAAACTGTGCACGGATGAATTAACGTAGAGAATAAACTTGTATTATACGAACCATAAATAGATTACATGAATGTTAAATAGTTTAAGTAATGTGTGTGGACTTTTTATTATGTTATATAGATGAAAGAGAGGATTTTTTTCTATTTTAAGCACACTAGAATAGCACATTAGAATAGTACTGCGCGAGAAATACGGGATGAACTTGATCGCGATATCAACGCAGTACTTGCAGAAAGACAGCGTCCACCGCTTTACGAAGTATGTCATTTTATTTTTTACGTAGCGACGGTTAGCTTCACAAATTGGCTATGCAGTTAGAGAGAATCGAATATTGAAGTATTGTACAGAGCATAAAACGGACCAAAAATGTAATCTTATATATAAAGGGAAGTGAACAGGTAGGGACAAACAGAAGTGTCGATAGTTTCAAGAAATATCCTCAATAAGGAATTTCTGATTGTGGATAAGCAAAGTATTATTTAAATCATAAAGATTCTCTTATATATTTGGGTATAATTATGGTTTCACATATTAGTTTTATATAAGGTTGACACGCGCGGGGCATTTTTATCATCAACTATGTGCAACGAATAACTAAATCTGTAATATTGTTCGTTTTAAGAGATGTCCTATTTTTAGCGTTAGATATAAATGATATATAATATTTTTTTATCCTGTCGCAACGAAATCCGTATTACCAAGGCGATTAGATCATATTTACAATACATATTACAAAAATAGTTGATTACACTATATTAGTATTGAAAATAATATTGAATAATATGTAAAAATATCGGATTTTTTTTTATTATGTGTGTAAACTTTTTTATCTCAGAACTTTTTTTAATCTAACATATACATATAGATTAATGCATGCCTTGGTTTAGATCTCATAAAAATTATCAAGAAGAAAATTGTATTAAAATTGTATTGTTATCATCTATAATTGTAAATGTACAAATCATAAATATATACATATATATCTATTACAATCCTGTTGTTTCTTTTAAAAAATTCGCATTTTATCTGTATTTTTATATCCTTGCAAATTTATCTCTTTCCATAATTAAGACGTTACAATTAATTTAACAAAAAACAATTTATATTTTAAATTAAATTAATTAAATTGAAATTATAAAGTATTAATTTAAATTTTTATTTCATAATTTTGTTATTGTAAAAATTTATATAACTAAAATAAAAGTAAAAATTTATATATCTAAAATAAAAACATTAAAATAGTTCATATAATAATTATATTTCGAGGAAAATTATATTTTTTTGAAATCAAGAATTTTATTCCTGATTTTTTAATAAATTATAAAAATAAAATTCAATTTTATATTTTTATATGAAACAGTGCATTTTTCTCATTTTGTTAACTATATTTAGTTATAATAATTTATCTGCAATTTGTTATGAATATATAACTGTACAAATATTTTCTAAAGATATCAAAATATATGTAAAAATCGTTTAATAATTTATATATACTTCTAAAAGTGATGAAAATTAATCTAGGACACGAATAACCGAACGTGTGTAGTAAGGGCAAAAACATAAAGAATGGATTACGCGATCTGTATGTCAAAAGGGTTGATAAAAGTAAGAGAGAGGGATCATGGAAGACGGCCATCTCTATCTCTTTTTATGTAACGGTGTAATGGGAGAGAGAATGAGAGGGAGATTGGCCGTCTTCAACGGTCTCTCTCTTTCATTATTGTCGACTGACCGGTATTTATAGTCAGTTTTTATTTCAAGATTGTCTTAAGTAATGTCTTAAGATGCTAATGCGGCCCTCTGATTGGTTCGTGACATTTTAAGACTATACTTAAGATGGTCTTGAATATAAGAATCGACTATGAATACCGGTCCTAGATACGGATCGCAGTCCATTCTCTATAGGCGGAATCCATAGACGGTGCTCAAGATTCGAGATCATTCATAGTCGGTTCTTATTTCAAAATCATCTTATGCCTGGTTTATGCTTCGGTCTTAACCCTAAAATCCTAAAATTCAGCCAATGAAATACAGATTTCCGTTAGGATCAATTAAGACTGGCAGCTCTATTGGCTGAATTTTAATATTTTAGAATTAAGACCGAAGCATAAACCAAGCATTAAGTAATGTCTTAATACGCTAATGCGGCTCTCTGATTGGTTCATGACATCTTAAGGCTGAACTTAAGACGATCTTGAATATAAGAACTGACTGTGAATACCGGTCTAAGATCGGACTATTGCTAGATTCACCCTGCATCCGATTTTACAACAGTAGCAGTCAGCTGTTATTACATTTATTGTATGTACAACAAATTTTTCAACCCTATCGATTGGTTATAAGATAGAAAGATTCGAGAGCCCCCTTCCCCCTCTCTCTGTTCTGCAGTCAATTAAAATGAAAAATTTATCATGCAACAATAAACGTAACATCACTCCAAGCGTTCAAAGTGAAGTGTGACGCAAACGAGGAAGCGACTAAGCGAGAAGTGCCGAGAACGTCTACCGGCCGAGCGCCACACAAATTACGAACATCGGCCGTGCTCGGCTATTTCCGCCGTAGTTCGTGCAACGGCCGCCGAGCGCGCCATAACGTTTACCCCGCCGGTCTCACTCCATGTTTCATTTGCGCGTCGCGTCATTCGTATAAGCGTTCATTCTCCTTGCGTCGCGCCGTCGCGTTGCGCGATTTCGCACGTTCCGTCTTGCGAATACGAAACGTCCGCAACAGTCGCGCGTCGCGGCGCGACAAGTTCACATGTGTCTATCGTCGTAATCTGGTGCCGGGTATTGCCGCGTATTCTGTGAAACATTCTGTGCCTGACTTCAAGTGGATCGCCCGAGAGAATCCTTTTTGGAGTTGTTCGGAGTGAACGCAGCAGCCTGTGTGAGAGACGGGAACGGAGCAGGCAAAGGATCTTGGCCTCGTCGCACCAGAAACATCATCGCTGTTCCGAGATTCATTGGTGAAGATTCAAGGTAAGTGCGTGTGAGTTTTGCGTGAGCAGTGTCGTAATTTCGGAGTCCCTTTCGACCGCGTTTCCTCGCTCTCGGAGCAGAGCCGCTACCACCTGTTGGCCATGGAAAAGTGCAACGACTCGTAACGACCGATGCCTCAAATTGTATACGGGACGCGCCCGGTTTATTTAATCGCAGATACGATTGTAGGTTTCGGAGATTGGATTGAGTATGGTTTCGATATTTATACGGCTGCGCTTGTATAATACATAATAATCGTTGCCGGAATCCGGTTTTCCTCGGTGAAAGGACGTCATCCGCCATAATTTTTCGCTATTAGATATCTGTGAAATTAGCTGTGAGATTAGAGAATCGTTTCCGTTAATGAGCGTCTGAAATCAAGCGAAGAAAGACGATTCGCTATTTATTTGAGAATTAATTCACGAACTTGTGTTTAACTCCGGCAATATAATTTAAAAACCACAGTCTTAATTTGTTATTTGAGAAAATTCCGCGTCTTTCCTATTCATTAATGAAATCCTTAAATTAGATTATTCAGTAGAAATATTTTATAAAAAAGGATAATTACTTAGTATTTTTTACTTTTTTCTTTATTTATATAATTTCTTTTTCCTTATTTATTTAAAAACCAGAATCTTGTAGTGACATTTAAGAAAACATTGTTTCCAATTTAAAAAATCCTTAATTCTCAGATTAATTCAATAGAATTTTATGAAAGATAATTACTTAGCATCTTTAATTTTCCACTTCATTTGTAGCTTTTCAGTTTACGGAGTTAATAATTTAAAAGCTATATTTTTGTTTTGCTATTTTATGAGAAAATGACGTCTCTAATTTATTTATTTTTTTAAGTCTTTAACTTAGACTAATTTAATAGAAACATTTCATTAAAAACTATCGCTTATTAATGTCTTTTACATTTCTTTTTATTTACACTGTTTAAATCTAGTGTCAAATTTAACCCGATACAAGCCGCCACTGCTCAATTATATCGTTATTTTGTACTAAAACAATGGTAATATTTGACAATGATTATAATATGATGTAATTATATTAACTGAATTTAAACTGTTTAACTCCATTGTTTTAGTATAGAACAACGATATATTTTATAGGAGAAGTGACGACATAAATTAAATTAAATTTGACACTATAGATTTAAAAGTGTCAATATACAATAATTTAGAAGTTTTCTTTAATTGTGACTTTTAAGTTTGCATAGTAAATCACTTTTGTAACGGGCGTATTTCAGACGGAATAAGAGCCTCTTGCTAGAAATCTTAATTTTAATTGAATTTAATTGCACTCAAGCGAAGTGCAAATACCGCTAAAAGTCGACGATGCGATTCAAGACACTAGAAATATCTCGGGCGTGCACGGCGAGCATTATATTACATTCGACGTTTATTTAATTTCTCGACAGGACGAGAATCATCGGTCAAGGATTGCGTGATCTAGAAACAAGATACAATCAGAGGAGGAAAATTTTACTTTCCTCCGCGATTGATTAGCATTCCATTTGTTCCGTACCTATTGTTGTTATACACAGAATTACACACAGAAAAATGTTATTCTATTACTATAAAAAAAGTGACTGCTTCATTTACTTTCTTCTTTTTAAGTAATGGTTATCTTTAACAAAAAATATTTTCTTGATAATAATCTTAAAATATACTTATTAGAAAAAAAAAATTTTTAGAAAAACTTATTATTATATACTCAAAACAAGAATTTATTTTTTTTTGGAGAATATTATAAAATTGATCGAAGAAGCGACTTTTTTTATATAACAAGCAAGTTAAATTTGTTTTAATTTAATAATTTTGATTGAAGTATATTAAACTTTTCACTAGGATTTAGAATTTAGAATATATTTTAAATAAATTTGACGCTTGTGATGAACTTATGATTTGCAAATATATGAACTTTTGAAATACTTGAAACAAGTAATTATTACTTGCGTACGGTATATATTTTTTTGTGTTCATATAGAGAATAACGGGATTTCGAGAGGCGCGAATCTACGAAAGGCATCTCGGAAAGGAATTATATGATATACTTATATCGCGAGAATAGCACAATGCGATCGTAATTACGTTTCTGTGATTTTTCTGTCAGCATTTTTCTCTCAAATTGTGAATTCGACGTTGTTTTCGCGCATCCGCTCGGTGAAGCGGGGCTGCTGGCGCGTTTCGCCGAAGCGCGCATCGTCGCTTGGTGTTTGTTTTCATCTCGTTTATTCGCTGAATTTTTGAAACGAGTCTTCTCGGTGAATATTCTCTGATTCTCTCTCGTCCGTGTATTCTCGGCCGCGACGTATAAAATCTCCCTCGAGATGCGCGCGCGCGAAAGGGATCCAACTTCGCAAGCTGAATTTCGTCTCGCGAGGTAGATTCCGTTTGCCTTTGCGAGATACTTGTTTAATTTTGTACTACACTGAGGAAAAAAGTTGTTAATTTAACTACGAGTTTGACTAAATTAGTTTAGTTCGTTTTTATTTCTTTCGTTTGAGAACGTATGTATTTAAGTCTAATATATATAGCTTTTTTTCTTAAGTATGTAGTCTGATCCTTTCGTGCTCGTATTTTTCTTCGTAATTTTTATCCGTCGATACTGGAGTTATTTTTCTTTCGCTGAAAAAAGTTTGGTGATATTGGGAAAAACTTTTGATGGAAAATAGACGAATGAGAAGATTCTGATCACATCAGTTAGAATTCTGGTTATCTCAACCACACTAGGAGAAATGTTTTATTCTATAAACAATTTTCAATC